GTTTAAAATTGTGTCATGGAAATAAAGAGAAAAAATGCTATGGGTTGATTGGTTATTTCTTAATGTGATGGAGAATTAAGAGAAAGTGATAAGATTGGGGATTTAAATTCACAGCTCACAGCCAAAGTTGGGAACTAGAAAGCTTCCATGACTGTTCTGAAATAGACCCTTGACTGTTGTGCTACTATATTCCTCAAGCCTCATCATCATTATTTGTCATGGTTTCTAAATCTAATTAGTAATTAGATTAGTAATAATAATCTAATTAGTAATCTAATTTAGTAATTCTAAATTACTATGCAGAATACACAAAGTATGAATTGTGAGGCATTGCCACAATTGTGATGCATGTCAAGGAATTACAAGGATTTGTCAATTCATGTTGACTATTTAGGGATGTTTCTTAAGGGTGTCAGATTAGGGTGAAAGGAATACAATATTAGGCTAGCCTGAAATTTTTTGGTAGTGTACGTTGGAGATTGGATCTAGTGATTGTAGATTCAAGGTGTTAGTTCATGTGAATGGAAGTACTTCTAATATACGGTAGATAATTAGACCCAAAGTTGGCCCACAATAACAAAGTTGTCCAGATCTTCCTTCTTATTATATAGGAAGGTATACAATTATTTAGGAAAATTGGTTTTAATATAGTAGATATGCTCACCTACTTGCTAAATAATGTACCCCAAGAGAGTGTAGATAACATTCTCTCCACCAAGAGTTTGATAGATACATTGTTGAAGGCAGAATTCAATCATTAAAAATTTTGCATAATGCAGGGGAAGTGGCTCAAGTGGTAGAGTGCCAGCCTAAGCAAGCATGAGGCTCTGAGTTCAAACCCCAAAAAACCCCTCTGTATTAACTATAATCTAAAAGCCAGGAATGCTGCCATAGACTGGGTCCCTTGAATTTAGTGAGGATGATGGAATTCCATAAGGACAGGAACTAAATGACAGAATTTAACCTCTAGAGGCCATGTGTGCATGGAAACCATAAAGAGCAGTGGAAGCAAAGTGATAAGAGAATTGCTGTGGTCTGAGCATTAGTGTATTCACCTTCCCAAATTCATGTTGTAATCTAAGAGGATGGAGTTTTTAGGAAATGATTAAGTCACAAGGTAGAGCCCTCAGAAATAGGATTAGCACCCTTATAAAAGAGGCCAGAAGGCACTTCCTTGCCCTTCCACTACATGAGTACATATAAAAGGCACTAGAGAGGAACGGGCCCTCTCTAGACAGCAGATCAGTTGCACATTACTCTTCTACTTTCCAGCCTCCACAACTGTGAGTAATATACTTACATTGTTTGTAAATTACATACTTTAAAGAATTTTGTTACATCAGCTCGAAGGGACTGCGATAGGAATGATTTGGCCTGCAAAGATTTTTGGTTTTGGCAATTGAGTAAACATTTCCTAACAAGTGAAATACATGAGCATTCTATCAGCATCCTACTTAATTTGTAGAAACATATTTCTCCATGTTTTGGGAACAAAAGTGCGATTCAAATCACCACCCCAGGGAATAGCATTCTCTTGTTCAGGTTTCATAGGAGAGCCACCTCCAAAGAAGAGTCCAGATTCTTATTTGAAGGATCCTGTTATGTGATTCAAAAGACTATCTTCTAGTCTTTCCAGGAAAGACTTTTTTGTTCTTTCTGTGGGTATTGGGGTTTGGACTCGGGGCAAGAACTATGCCACTTGAGCCATGCCACCATCCTTTTTGCTTTTTTTGGTTACTTTTTGGAAAGGGTTTTGCTTTCTGCCTGAGCTTGCCTGGGACTGTGATCCTCTTACCTATACTTCCCACATAGCTGGGATTCCAGACACGTACCGCCATGCCTGGCTTGTTGGTTTTAGATGGGAATCTCACGACCTTTTTTTCGCTTGGTCTGGCTTTGAACAAGATCCTCCCAATTTCTGTCTCCCGAACAGCTGGGATTGCTGGCATGAGCCACTGTGGCTGGCCCATCAAGACTTTTGATAAAGATGACTGTGTACTGCTGAAGGATGAATAATTGTACTTTTTGATTATTGTGGGATTACTGGCTCTGTACTGATAAGACTTTCTGGTGACCCTCAAATTGCCCACTGTAGCCCATAGTTAGAAGAGTTTATAGAAGTCAGTTTTATCAAGTTTTAATATAAATCTGTATCACATTGAGCCCAAGAATACCTAAACCCACCCATCCCACAGCTAATGTTGTAATTCTGAAAGGCATATTTGGCATATCTATATTACTATATGCCTGATAGATAGATAGATAGATAGATAGCCATGCTCATTAGCACACTCCATGATAGCCTCTATACTGCATAGGATATCATACTGGCCTAATCACATCAGTGATTTTATGTTGATTTGACCTCGTGAACTGGAAGCAGTAGGTGTTACTACTATATAGACACTTTAGTAATATTTATGTGTGCCAGAGAGTGTGAATTTAATCCCTTAAAGCTTTAGAGACCTTAGGTTAAATTTCTAGAATACAGTGTTGACTTATCCATTCTAAAGTGAAAGAAAATTTCCCACCTCTGGCCCTTCCTAGATCAAAAGTCATGAAGACACAATTCCCTCATGTGGGAATGCTATTTTGTGAAATTTATCGAGTAACCCCAGAGACTTCCAGTTCTGTTTGGTGTACAGAATGTGAAGAGAGTCTGCAGTTGGTCCAGGCTGCAACTGAAGCTACTCTTCCACTTGGGCTATGTGGAATAGCAGATAAGTGGCACTTGAAAAATCACTGGATGTTAAGGATCTCATATGAAAGCCTCTGGCAGGCTACTGGTGATCCACAGTGAGGTCTTTGGGATTTTTGGAGCACAGCTGTGTTAATTCTCTACAAAAAATTATTTTTGCTCTCAGAAAAATATCTCATTTGTTGCTAGATCCTAGTGAGTGTATGATGTTTGGCCATAGGTCAACAAATTTCCATGCATCATGGACTTCTCATTATAAACTGGATGATGTTTGGTCCACCAAGCAGGTGGATTTGCACAGAACTTGAATAAAACATCACTCCGCGTACTCACGTACACATCATCAAGTGTACATGATCAGTCATGAGCACATTCTAAAGGCATAAACAAGTTCCATGAGCAACTGGCTCTCACTGGTAAGGGTTGTATTGCTTCCATAGTCCCTTTCCTCTCTCAACCCACACTTAAGGTCTTATAGAGCATTTCTCATGATGACCCAACTGACGTAGAAGATATTTGGGCCTGGTTGTCTAATGTTTTTTTCACAGTATGTTAGCACCACCTAGAGTAGATAGCTGTAGCTCCACAACTCCATCAAGACGTGATTGAATTATAGTTCTTAAGAAAACCCTTTCAGTTATCTGGCTATTCACTGTTTGAAAGAAAACATGGTCAGAGGTATGATATGCAGGAATTCATGGGCTGTGACTAATGTACAGACTTAAAAACACTTAAGAAGAAGTGTTATCTGACAATTACTGATGATGAAATTCTGGGGAAAAGGCATGTGAATTGACCTCAATGAGTAGCTTATATACTTTTATTCCATTTGACTGCTAACCAAAGAGCAGCCACTGATGAGGAAAGCAATTATCAGGTGGGTAAGATGGCATGCTCTGTTGGCCACTCCTTTTTACCAGCCACCCTTATCCTTGACCAATGGGCTCACAAAGAAAGAAACAATATTGGCAGAAGTAGAAATTCGGAATGGGCTGATCATTATGACGTTCCACTCAGCAAGGCCAAATCTAGCTATAGTCACTGCTGAGAGTTCAGCCTAACAGTAGCAGAGAAGGTATTATGTCCTCAGTATGCACCACTCTATGGGAGGACCCACCCACCTTGATTACAGGTTAATTATATTGGACTGCTTCTATCACAAAGGAGGCAGTGGCTTGTTCTCACAGGAACAGTCACTTAATCTGAATATGGATTTGCTTTCTCAATCTACAATGCTTCTATCAAAATACCATCTGTGCACTTAAATGTCTCATTCACTTTTTTGGTATTTCATTCAATATTGTTTTTATTCAGAGAACTTATTTAATAGTAAATGCAATATGGCAATGGGCTTATGCTCATGTAAATGTCTTAGCATGCACCCCCCTCACCCTAAAGCAGATGGCCTAACAGAATGGTATTGTCTTTTTAAGAAAGATTTAGTCTGCCACTAGCTGGGTGAAGATACTTTGGAGGTCTAAGACATGGCATAGACACTGAATACTTACCCAATATATGGTGCTACTTCTACTGAGATTCATAGATTCATAAATAAAGTATTGGAACTAGGAGCCTCTCCTCTTATTTCATTGTTTCCTTCTTCTGTTCACCTACTAACTTTCATAAGATGTGTGGATATTAGTTAAGTTTATATTTCAGTAATGAAGTTAAAAGATTTACCTAGTAAGGAACAATCTAGAAATAAGATTACTGCAATATTAAAACAAATTTACTAAAATGAAACTGAAAATATTAATGAAGTGTCAAGTATTGTGAAAGTTTTAAGGTTTTACTCCATTTGTTATCTGTAAAATTCACCTGCTATATATTTAGGGTTGAAGACACAAGATGACTGGATTAGAGACAAAAGACTTTATTAGTCACAGCAACAACAGCGGGCAGAGAATCCACACTTTTCTTGCACTAGTTCTCTGAGCCCCAGTTCACACAGGATAACATGAAGAAATTCAGGTGATGTCTGCACATGCAAAGGGTTGCATTGTCCGAAAGGAACCTCAACTATAGGGAACCTGAAAATTTTCTAATGTGAAGTGAACATGCTTGCCCCTCATTCCATAGAGAGATACTACTCTATCTCCCGTGGTTGTTCACTGTATTATTTTTGAAAATCCTTCAGAAAAAAAGCAGACAGTCCCTTTTCTTGCCAAACATATGGAAATGTGAAAGCTTTATGAACTGTCCCTCAAAAGGAAGTTTCACATAATTTTATTGAAAAAAATCTAAGAAATCATGGGACTCATGTACAATATTTTCTCACAAGAAAAATTTTAAGCTGGCTTTTGAACGTTTCACAGAATTGCAAAACTTTTAGTTTTTAAAAGGAAAAACACAATGAAACTACCACAGCATTTTGGTATTTTTTTATTCCCAAGGAAAAGGCTGAAAAACATTTCATGATTTGTGAGTCTAAGCACTATACTCTTTCATAAATCTGCTGAAAAAGATGTAAGGAAATGGGTAAATCAATGTTGCCTTTGTTCAAAATATTTAAAAAGCTAAAATCTAATGACATGTTAAAATAATACACATTTTTGTAGGGTGTTACCATTTCTATAACAGTTTCTCTACACTATATCAACAGTGCAATGGTGATTCAGTGTAAATCATTACAGTGTTTCATTGTTACAATGCTTGTGTTCAAGTACGTGTTCGTGAACCTGATCAAAGTCTCGGTTTTGACTTTTCTTTTTCATTATTAAAATACAATTATAATTACAGTAGAATTTTTCCTATGGATTGTCTCTAAATCTGAACCAAATTCATAATACATTCTCCAAAAGCCTGTTCAATACTATGAGGTTTGTTATGTTTACACATCTCCTGCAGATTACAGAAAATAGGCTATTTTCTGCAGCAGGACCCCCCCAAAAAAAAGAAAAGAATCATTTTTTTTCTCCCTATATAACTAAACTACTTTGCTAAGGTAGTGTATGTACTGAATAACTCTATGGTATTGATGGAGAAAAAGTAGCACCTTAGAGACAGCCCTAACTTAAACAACAAAAATTTAAGGTTAATACTCTTTTCCTTTTTCTTCTAATTAGGTTACTGGATCCAACTTATTCATTCATATAAAATGATTTATGAAGCTTTATAGTATATCAAAATGTTTGCTTAATCAAGACAAACACCACATTAAATGTTTGGCAGGCAAAAAATAAATTAATTTGATTAAATTATATGGAATCTGATAATATTTGGTCTGAAAAACATGCTATGTGTGTGTGTTTATAAATAATGGAATAGCCAGGAGCTGTGAGCCAGCCAGCCAGCCTGTGAGAGGTCAACTCTTCTGCTGCAGCTTCTGGGCATAGAAATCCCTGCATGTCTCACAGCAGCGCTGATACCACCGCATATCCTGACACAGGTTCTTTTCACGGATCACTCGGCAGTACACCGGCCACTGATCTCCCAGGCACTTGAAAGTCAGAGCCGCTGTGAAAGAGAGCACAGTGAATTCACTGCATGCAGACATCATCTGTATCCTTGGGAGAAACAAGTTTCAACTATTTAAGTGGGGTTGTTTCAACTCATTTATATTACTGTCAGGAACTTAAAAGACAGATAGACACACATGTCCTGCAATAAGGGAGTGAGTCAATGAATAATAGTATTATTATGAGCAATAATAATAATGGGATAAACTTTTTAAGCTTACTAAAAATAGATTTCCCACATTCAAAGTGTAATATTTCTATGCTTCAATTTTATACCTTTTATTTAAGCTTCTTTTGGTTTTTGATAGAGAAGATTAAGAAGAAAAATGAATGTACTCAATATATTCACCTTTGTGGGAATGCAAATAATAGGTATTGCTATGAATGAAATTATAACAAAACAGCAAAATGAACAAATGGTCATATTTATTTCCTATCTTTATTATCCTACATAGTAGACACATGTAGGTGGAATATCTAGAGATAGTAACTTTAAGCTTTTGTAAAATCAAAGCTGATCGATACAAATAACTGAAATTTATAATAGTGTTTGAAATTGAAATTACATGACCAGAAATCTGATCATGTAAATTTGAAAAGTGTGTTCTACCATGTATAATGAAAGTCTTGCTGTAATTCTTACTTTTGCTACTATTCAAATTCAGTTCATTATTTTATTTTTATAGAACTTAGGTTTTCTAACCTTGGTGCATCTCTGTTTTAGGGTATACCTTCAAGGAATAATACAGAAAATGCAATTGTAACAGAAGTCTTCAGTTATTCCATTGTTTTTTTTTTTTTTTTCCAAATGATACTTTAAGGACTCCAAGTAATTACCAGAGAAGGGGCTTATGATGTTATTGAATACATAGACTTGAGACATCTGCTTTAGGATGGCCTAACTTTTTGTCTTAATTAGTCTTGTTCCACTTGAACTGATTATTTCTCAGAAATGTTAATTATTTGACTCAAAAAAGGAAGATTTTTGTATTTCCACGAGGAACCAAACTTTTTTATTTTAATAAATTTTATGCTTGGAAAAGTAATATGATAATTGAGCTCTTTGTATTTTGGCAATTATTCTGTATGATTCAAATTGTTCTCCCGGAGATTATATGCACAGGTTAAAAGTGAAGGTTCTAAACATAAATGAGCCCATTGACAGCCAGGTAGAACTTCTGTTAAAAGCCACCAATTGCCACAGAAATCAAGGCTCATCCACTCATTAGCATTAGTGTGTAAGCATACGCTGCATCTCCTTAGAACACATGTTCTACTTCTTGATGATAGATTAGATGAAATAAGAGGAATTAAAGATAAATATGAAAACATTTGAATATCAAAATATTACTGGTAATTTTAAATTTATTATTTCCTCAAAGATGAAAAAGCACCTCTTATTCAGTGATACAAATCTATGTACCCATTCTTTTTCTTTGATAATACTGGGGTTTGAACTCAGGATCTCACACTTGCTAGGCAGGCACTCTACCACTTGAGGCACTCCACCAACCCTTTTGTGTTGGGTAATTTTGAGATAGGGTCTCATGAACTATTTGCCCAGGCTAGCTTCAAACCTTAATCCTCCTAATCTCTGCCTCCTGAGTAGCTAGGATTACAGGTGTGAGCCACCAGCACCCGCTGTGCACTCATTCTTCTTGAAAGCCATTTTTTACTCTATATCATTCCAAAAGATAATTTGTATCCAGGATCACAAAGATGATATTAACCAGTGGGATCTAAGATAAGGCTACAACCTCACCTTTCAGAAACATTAATTTAATTGATGATTCTGCCATGGACTGGTGTGAACCTAAACCTGGTTGCATCATTCAACTCTTTTTAAAGTGATTTTGAGTAATGTGACATTAGTGTTTCTTAGATCTGGATCTGAGTAGATATATTCAAGAATCAAAGCAGTTTAGTCTTCAGGATTTTTCTTTTAACTATCCACCTGGCCATTTGGAGAAACCATATTTTTAAGTAAATAGATCCAACTTAGTAAAAACAAAAGTAATCAATGTAGTCTCAAAACTCTCAGGATTTAAAGTGATATGCAAAATAGAAGGAGCTGTAGAATTTCTATGTTTTGAAAGCCATGCACTTTTTGTCTGCTTACCCAGTCGGGGGGATGTTATCGTATTTACATTAATCTTCTCATTGCAGGGTTGAAGGTGGCATGGCCTGTATGCTGCAGGTTTTTCTGAAGAAAAACATTCATTTCCATGTCTTCCTGTGATCTTATGCATGCACTGGATGACACGGGATTGCATTCCTTTACCACAGGTAATGGAGCACTAGGAGAGATATAAAGTTCACTAAGAGTTCTTTTTCTGTTTCCCTTTTCTGGAATGTGAGGCAATTTTTAATATAGTTCTTAAAATTATACAGGAGCAACAACATCCAGACTTGATGCAAAACATGAGTCAGAAACACCTACGCTCCTAACTTGGGCACAGTGCTGCTGAGAAACTCTAGTTGATCCACTGCAGAGCTTGGGGCATTTAAGGACGTAGGAAAATAAAGGATAAAGAAAGTTGGAGATTATGATTGGAAAGGAAAAAGATTGAAAGATACCAGTAATGTCTGGGCAGATCAGGTTTAATAACTGGTTTTCAATAAATGATTGATTCATTATTCTTTAACTTGGTCACTGATGTGCAAGATTTAGCATATGCTCAATTATGGAGCTAAATCCTTATTAAAGTTTTTTAAATCTACTCATCCCTTTCATTTGCTCTGGCCTTAAAATGTTTGTTAGCAATATTAAGATGATTTATCAAGCTGATGTGTTGTTGAAATAATGATTATTTCCTGGCAGATTACATGACATCCACTACAACACTAATGGAAATATTTGATAATCTGGATTTTGCTAACGAAATGCATTTTAATGGATTTATTACATTTCAGCTAAATGTAGTTTGTCTTCACTTGTGAGATCTTTACCAAAAAAGAACACAATTGATGTATAACAGTTTTTCATTAATGAAGCCTCTAGGTTCCATGCATATCACTGGATTTAGTTTGTAACACTAATAAAATGGTGCTAATTTGACTGAGAAAATACAATTATTTTATAATACAAAATTATATGTAAGACAAGGAATATGTTTGTTCTTCTGAAGATGACTGTTAGCCATATTATTTTCTACACAATAAAGATTTAGCCAGATTTTGCTAACAAGGTTTGTTGATACCCATGGAACTCTTTAAATAAAAGATCTTAGTGTATACAGTGTTCTAACTGAAAGTTAGTAATTGCTTTGTGATTATAACTTTTTAGATATGCAAACTTTCCTCTCTGTATTTTACCAAGCCATTATTAGGACTACATTCTCTTTGCTGTCACTTCTCCTCTCATAATTAACACCTGCTCCATGTCTTCATATTTTCATTTGCCCAATGAGCATTCTGCAAAAGCCCTTATCACCCTCAAGTGTACTCTACTGTTATCAAATTTGTCTTTAGTCTCCTGCTTTCCAATGAATCCTTCAGATTAACTGAATATGTATTCTTTCATATTTATTTATACATAGACTCTCCTTGGACAAAAATCTTGGGTTTTTTTATTCACCATAGCCCAAAGATAAAGCCCGATATCTTTTTTGTTTTTTTTTCTTTTTGTGCTGGATAGGGGTACATTGAGGCATTTACAAGAGTTCTTACAGTATATTAGATGTATCATACTTGAACTCACCCCTTCCACTATTTTCCTTCATCCTCCTCTCCTCCCATTTCTGGAATAATTTCAACAGATATCATTTTTCCACTTACACACATGTGTACACAGTATTTGAACCATAGTTACCCCTCCTTCACCATTTCTACACCTCTTTCCCCCTCCCTCTGGTACCAACCTCCCCCTCACAGGACCTGTTCCACCCTTCTGTTCTCTGATTTTATATAAGAAAAGAAGAAGAAAAATGATATTTTTGGCTGTTTAAGATAACTACACAGACAGTTTTCTTGTGGCACTTCCAGCCTGATTTGGTTCATTTCCTGTATTTTTCTTCTTTCTACCTTTAGTCCCTTTCTTATGATGCCTTCAACTGGTTTAAAAATTGTATATTCATTCTTCCACTTGTTTTTTTTTTTTTTTTTTTTGGTGGTACTGGGGTTTGAACTCAGGGTCTCATGCTTGCTAAGCAGGTGCTATACCACTTAAGTCACTCTGCCAGCCCATATATTCATTCTTATATAGACAGTACATCAACCATATTAACTTTCTTAACTTCCTTCTTTTACCCTCCCCCTCTTGTATGTGCTCTTTCTTCATAGAACTGCTCTATTTGTATTAGCTCTATATTCCACATATGAGAGAAAACATGTGACTTTTGGCCTTCTGCACATGAAAACCCATTATCTTTAAACTGGCATTCATTTACCCCTTTAACCTTTTCTACCTCTCCCCATTAAAAATTATTTGCTCTACTATAAATTCAGCATGTCCATTTCATTTCGAGCCCCACTTCTGCAATTGTGATCATAGAATTCTCCTTTACATTATGCTATATTTCTTTTTAAAACACAATCTCAAGTCCACCTCCTCCATGAAGGCTTCCATATTATCATGACTACTTATGCCATTTGTGTGTTATTTATAATTTAAACTGCATGCCAATATGCTGAGGGTACATTTCAGAAAAATTCTAAAAAGTTGATTTTAAGGTATGGGATTTCTAAGTTAATAAACTCCCAGGGGATCTGGGAGTCTGCATTTAAATGTTATCACTTTTGAGCAACTTTCAAGTAGTAAAGCTGCATATGAGTAAAGATTCTCATCAACTCACTGTTCATGGTGCCACCTAACAGTAGTAATTATAGTTCTGTCAAATAATGTCTCAAAATTATACTTTGCTATCGGGTATCTGAATACTCCATCATTTACTGATTTATTCAAATACTCATTGATTACCCATTATGTTCAGGATCCTATACAAAATAAACCAAATAGCAAAGATTATTTATAATTTGAATATGTCCTTTTGTTCAATAGGCTTTATTAATTATTGTATTAATACCACTTCATACAATAGATATAATTATGTAAGTGAAGATATTATGTTTCTTAGAAAAATATTTTCAATAAAATGTGAAATAGTTAAACTAAAATCATATAAGGGGTTAAGATTGTATGAAAAATAATGTTCTAGTACTTATTCTTAAAATTTCTGTAGATCTTGAAAGCAATCACAGAATCTTTAGAATAGATTAATTTATTCTTGTGAGTTATTTCATATTTCAAAGAGGCCCAGGAATTAGTCACAGGTTATGCCTGATCATTTCAATTAATCTTATAAAACCAACTCCAAAGGACCTGAGCAAGTTGAAGTGACATATCAATTTTCTGGATTACCAAAAATAAAATAAAATAACTAAAGAAACATGATAATTTACAGTGTATAATATTAGCTGATACTGTCTGGTGTCTTTTATGAAAAACTGATAAATTAAAAAACATGTTGCAGTCCTTATGCAAGTTAAATTTTGTAAATATTTGAGAGGGGAGGACATAAGGACAGGAGGTGCAGAAGATGAATATGGTGGGAATATTATATACTCATGTATGAAAGTGGAAAGATGAGACCTGTAAACTACTGGAGCAAACCTGAGAATAAACACATTACCCAGGAAACAATGGGAGTTCTGTAAATCATTGAAGTAAAACAGTATCATTTCTGTTTTTGAAAACAATGGAATTAAGTTTATTATTAAATTAAATCTTTTAATACCTTTAAAATGTAAATTTCAGTATGATACTTTAAAATACAATTTGGTAAAAACTTTATTAAAAGAGTATGATAAGTGACCAGATATTTAAAAGGGAACAAATGGAATCCCAAGATACCTTATAAACTCACTTTTATTATAGAAAACAATACTAGATAATTGGATATTTTTTCAAATGACATCAGTGTGACTGAAAGCAGACAGACATTAAAAGAAAAGTCAAAATTATTCTGGCTTTGAAATTAGGAGACCTATCTTGTAATATTGCCTCTAGCAGCTAATAGCTGGGATTTATTTTTCATTTCTGTGAAGCAAGGCATTGCATAGCAACAGTTTCAGGTCGAAATTACTATGGAAGTAAATGCAAAAATGATACCTGTTGAAACTATTTCAAGAATTGGGAGAAGGGATGGGGGAGAGCAGTGCAGTGGGAGTTCAAGTATGATATATTTGATATATTATAAGAAGGTTATGGAAATATAGAGCTGAATTTCACTAAACTCAGATGTTTATATACATACATATATTATATATGTATGTATTTTTTTTAAATGACCAAGGATGGTCTAGTAATAGACACAGATCGGAATTCATGAGGAGTTGTTTTTACCAAATTAGAAAATAGTGCCAGCAGCGAGAGGAAAGGGTTTGCCAGTGTTGACAAAAAACAAAAACAAAAAAAAAAAAAAACCAGGCTAAGATGCTAGAATGATTTGGCCATTTTTTTCTTGGTCTAAATGCAAACAAATGAAAGGAAAGAGAAATTGAGAGAAAATTGAAATGCTAGAACATTCCTACCAAATTCTTATCTTGTCATTATCACACAAAGAAAGGTGTGAAGTGAATTATGAATGGCTTTAAAGTCCATATCTCACAGGCAATTGTGTGGAAACCTCTCTCGCCACAAAAGATAAAGGGGTCATTGGTGAGGCACTGCAGAAAAGTCAAACTGCAGCAAGAAACTGCATGTGAAATTTTACTTTTGACACAGTATTAATTATGGTACTAGGAGAAAGCTTTTCTAAGATCTTGATTTCAAGGCTTGTCAATAGTACAACTTGAATCTACTTTTATAAAGTACAAAAGATTCTTTGTGTCACTGAAAATTCATGAAATCATGTAATGATTTCCACAGTGACTCACTGTGCAACATTCCCACTATCGTGTCCCTGTCAAATTCACCATAGAATACTGTTATCTTCTAGTCCAAGAAGTAACCTGTGTACTTCTGGGCAAATTAATTTCACTTTGTGGCCATCTATAAATGGGATACTCAAAAATACCACTAAACTACTCTTCTGTTAAAGAGACAGTCATTCTTTTCAATGATCTCTGATTCTAGCTTTCCTTCTGAGCTGTCTGGATTCTGAGATCCACTAGATCTGCTGACATGATTACGTTTTACACTCCTGCCGTCCAGTAAGCAGTCAACCATTAGCCTAGTTTTCTTCATTTAACTTGCAGGAACAACTAGGCTTGAATTGGGACATTGAGTCTTCTAATTGTTCCATTGTAAAAATAAAGATTTCTTAATGCTTCTCAAAGTAAATATGAAAATAA